AGACTGGCTGTGACCCCAGAGGGAGCCATGCAGGGGAGGAAGGGCCAATGCCATCGGCAGGAGGGGGGGGGGGTTGGGGGTGGGAAAGACCAGGGGGAGTGGCACCCTACTTCCTGATGGGCCAATGCTGTCAGATGGAGAAACACCGCTGCCCAGCAGTGAAGGCAGGTACTGATTCAGTGAATTTCAGTCCTGGTTCTGCTGCCCACTTGCTGTATGACCTTGAGAGAATCCTTCCCTATTTCTGGGTTCTATCCCTAACCCCCGGTAAGGTCACCCCTACACCATCCTCAGTCCTGACTAGACGCTATTATAGCATCTTGGTGAGGGCTGGGGTCACCTCCAGCAACACGGAGGAAGGGAGAACCATTACCCACCCCGCAGGCAAAGGGGTAGGACAGTGCGGCCCAGGAGAAGTGACAGAGGCAGCCAGTTAGGAAAGAGGCAGCCCTGCCTTGGAGGGAGGAGGGGTGCAATTACTCTCTGCAGAGGGCTCACTATGCCCTGGGCCGGAGATGCTCTCTACAACGGGCTCCTGTGCTCTGCTTTAATCCTTTAGAGGCGGACTCCGGTCTTCATTTAGCGCATGGCCCAGAGAGCCAGGAGACTTACTTGAAGGTTGATCGGTTAGACTCCAGCTCGGTCTTAAGGCTTACAACCTTTGAAAAGAACCACCACCCCCACAAGCCACTGGGCTTGGTGGTTTTGGAAGGGCCTGCTGGGAATGGCCAGCTCTATCCTGAAGAGCCTGGCCCATTAGGAACATCTTGCAGTAGAGGGATGGGGTAGGATATTTCTTTCTTTTTTAAAAAAGATATATTTTTTATTGATTTTAGAGAGGAAGGAAGGAGAGAGATAGAAACATCCATGGTGAGAGAGAATCATGGATCAGCTGCCTCCTGCAGGTCCCCACTGGGGGGATCGAGCCCACAACCAGGAATCGAACCTGGGACTCTATCCACAGAGCCAAACTGGCTGTCGAGGTAGGATGCTTCTTTACTTTTCCCATCGGGGCTTCTCTCTTTCTCTTCGTTTACATCTACTTTATTTAATTAAAAAAAATTTTTTTTTAAATTTATTTGAGAGGAAAGGAGAGGGAGAAATAGAAACATCAACAATGAGAATCACTGATGGGCTTCCTGCACACCCCCTAGGTGGGGATCAAGCCTACAACCCAGACATATGAACCCAGAATTGACCGAAATTGAACCCAGGTCCATTCAGTCTGCAGGCCACCATTTTATCCACTGAGCCAAACCAGGTAGAACAAATCTGCTTTAGAAGTGTGCCCTCTGGTTTCTCATTCATCAGTCTTTCTTTTTCTTCTTTCAGTTTTTAAACCCTGTTGGCCTCCCATCTCTATGTCTTCCCTGTTTGGAGTATAGATCTTGGGCCACCAAGGTCCATGCCCAGCTACCTCATCAGGCCTTGGGGATATTTACATGTCTCCTAGTGGAGCATCTTATACACACCCTCTGTGCCTACTAAAGATGGCTTCTGTTGGCATAACACGGCTTGTCTTTGTGCTAGAAGGCCAGTGAGGAGGAGGAAACATGAAGGGGGCAGAGAACTCCAGCTTGCAAAAATATATTGAAAGTCTTAATTAAAGAAATTAGGATCCCCTGAGCCTAATCTCTATTTTACACAGAGAAACAGAGCCATGACCCCACATGATCACATATAAGCAAAGCACCTTCATACAGCCAAAAGGAGGTGTACAAACTGAATCTTCACCTGTCTGCAGCTCTTTGAATGAGGATAGAGAGGTGTCTTTGGAGGGGGAGGGGGAGGCGGGGCAGAGTGGTGGGCCCTGGGAACAGTGGATGGCTGGTCAAAGATACAACAACACACCTGCTTTGGCCGGGTGGCTCAGGTGATGAACCCACACATCCAAAGGTTTCGGGTTCCATTCCGGGTCAGGGTGAGTACGAAGGCAACCGATCAATGTTTCTCTCTCACATCGATGTTTCTCTTTCTCTCTCCCCCTTCCTCTCAAATCAATAAACATATCCTTGGGTGAGGATTTAAAACAAAACAAAACCAAGTACTATACTCCTTTGAGGGCTGCACTGCCTGCTCCAGAGTACTGTCTCCCTTCTCGCTCCCTAAACAGCGAGGTCAGGTCTGGGCTCTGTGGTACCTGGGATTTCTCCAAGGTAACATGAAATCCTCTGCTCTTCAGCAAGTTTCATATTCTATTTATTGTGAGCTAGATATCAGGGATACTTAAAACAACAATGTTCCCATAAACTGATGAACAAAAATAGATCCAAAGACATGGAAGCATCGAAAAGACCACCGATCCTCGGAGGAACATCAATTGGTTGCCTCCTCATGCACCCTGACCAGGGCCGGAGAACCTGTAAGCAAGGTATGTACCCTTGACCAGAATTGAACCTGGGATCCTTCAGACCGCAGGCTGACACTCTGTCCACTGAGCCAAACCGGCCAGGGCTCAGCTTTGCTTGTCACCTGTGCCTCTAGTTGCTCTGTTGGGGGTGTGGCAAATGAGGTACCTTGGTGTATCAGCATTTGCACTGAAGTTAGACCTAAGTCACTTCTTCATATCAGTGGACCTGTTTATTTATTTGTAAATGGGGTAGAATAACACCTTGAAGAATTGTTGAGGGGAACAAATGAATCAAAGCAAAATGTTTAGCGGAGTTGTAACCTGGCAAATAGCAGGTGTGTAGGAGATTTAAGCCTCCTTGCATTGATGACTTGGGACCAGAATCTTATCAAGGACTTTTACATTATTTTGTCCAAGGTTTATCCATTTTAAGAGAGAGAATGCTTATAAAGTGCTCAGCAAAGACTAGGCACAGTAATTCACCAGATGCTTGTACCTATGATTAAGTTAGAACATGTGACTAGTTCAGAAAGGAATAAAAAACAAGCAATTGTCAGTCTGTTATCACAGTGCAAATGAGAAGCCAAATTCTTTCCTGGTACTATTTATTTCAGAGGAGTGAGATAAATATGAAGGTTTTTTTTTTTTTTTAAATATAGTATTTTATTGATATTTTACAGAGAGGAAGAGAGAGCGATAGAGTTAGAAACATCGATGAGAATCATCGATCAGCTGCCTCTTGCACACCCCCTACTGGGGATGTGCTCGCAACCAAGGTACATGCCCTTGACCTGAATCGAACCTGGGACCGTTCTGCCCGCAGGCCGACATTCTATCCACTGAGCCAAACCGGTTTCGACTAAATACGAAGGTTTTGATTGGTATCAGGAAGCCTGAGACCTGGGAACACGGAAGGAGAATCCTGGGAACTGAGGGATCAGTTGGAGATTTTCCCAGGGGGCCGTTAGAGAAGAGCAGCAAATCGTAGGTTATGAGGTACAAATCCAAATGGTTTAGGATTCCAGAGTATGAGAGAAGGGGGATTCCCGTCTTCCAGGCTGGGGAAGGGGGATGTGGCTTTCTTTTGGGACCCTCTCCAGAAAGATGTGGTGGTGGTGAGGTGGAGTGGTACCATCCTCTTCCAGGCGCTCCTTTCTCCAGAGGGAGCAATTGGGGTTCCATTGGGAGAGAATTAATTCAGCACCCATTAGGTGTAGAGCTTTATTTGAATTTTTAAAAAAATTGAAAAGGCCTGGCTGGTGTGGATCAGTGGTTGAGCATGGACCCATGCACCAGGAGATTCGATTCTTGGTCAGGGCACATGCCAGAGTTGCAGGGCTTGATCCCCAGCTAGGGGCATGCAGGAGGCAGTCAATGGATATTTCTTCTTTTTTTAATTAAAAAATATATATTTTATTGATTTTTTTACAAAGAGGAAGGGAGAGAGATAAGAGAGTTAGAAACATGGATGAGAGAGAATCATCGATCAGCTGCCTCTTGGACACCCCCCACTGGGGATGTCTCCACAACCAAGGTGCATGCCCTTGACCGGAATCAAACCTGGGACCCTTCAGTCTGCAGGCCGACACTCTATCCACTGAACCAAATCGGTTTTGGCGTCAATGGATATTTCTATCTCTTTCCTCACTCCTTTTCTATCTGAAATCAATAAAAACACATTTAAAAAATTCAAAAGGAAGGCAGTGTTAAGCAGTATAGCAAGATCAGAACTGTACTCATTTTGTCTGTCACCTACACTCTCCATGTGATCCTGGGAAAGTCTCTTGTCCACCTGAGCTCCTGTGTGATGTGATTGAGCCTCTCGGAGCCTCAGTGTCTTCATTTGCAAAATAGGTATTCCCTATTTCAGAAGACTGTGTGAGATAATAAACATGAAGTGCTCAGTACCACTCTCCCCAGACTGACTGCTGAGTGATCCCTGGGGTTCCTTGCCACTCAATGGTGCTGTGCCTAGGACAAGACCCCTGCTGGGGGAGTGTGGAGGAAGTGGGTGGGGTGCTTTTGATCAGTCCAGCTGGGGAGAAAAGGAATTTATTAAAAAGTGTTACCCAGCCGAAATCGGTTTGACTCAGTGGATAGAGCGTCGGTCTGCAAACTGAAAGGTGGATTCCAGTCAGGGGCATGTACGTTGGTTGTGGGCACATCCCCAGTAGGGGGTGTGCAGGAGGCAGCTGGACGTTTCTAGATCTCTATCTCTCTCCCTTCCTCTCTGTAAAAAATCAGTAAAACATTAAAAAAAAAAAAAAAAAAAAAAAGGTGTTATCAGCCAAAACCGGTTTGGCTCAGTGGATAGAGCATTGATCTGCGGACTGAAAGGTCCCAGGTTCGATTCTGGTCAAGGGCATGTAACTTGAAACTTGATTGCGGGCACATCCCCAGTAGGGGGTGTGCAAGAGGCAACTGATAGATGATTCTCTCTCATCGATGTTTCTAACTCTCTATCCCTCTCTCTTCCTCTCTATAAAAAAACAATGAAATATATTAAAAAAATAAAAATAAAAAAATAAAAAGTGATACCCAGGCATTGGACACTGGGAAGCTGACCAGTGGCTGCCGGTCATAGGATGCTCTAGTATTGGGGCAAGCTTTGCAAGAATCTGTCAACCGAACCGGTAGTCAAGGCATCTGATTAGGTAAGGCAGGTTGGATCAGGTCCTAGGTCATTAATTTGTGAGGTAGCAAGGTTTATCCGGATGAAAGAGGAATCCAGATCCAGACTTTCCTGTCCGAGTGACCTCGGGCCAGTCACTTTTCCTTTCCCGGCCTCAGTGTGCAGGGCGGGGGGGGGGGGGGAGAGACTGAGGCTCCTCCGCCCACTCCCCTCTGAATGCGCACGAGGGCGAAATGTCGACACAATGGACGTGAGGTGCGTAGGTGAGGGCCGGCGGGGGGCCTTTGCGATGCTGACAGGCGCACGCGGTGGGTACCCAGCCCGCGGCTTCCCTCCGGTCCGGCGGTTCCGCGCCCCGTAACCAGTCTCTGGCCTCGCCGCTCCCTCCCCGGGGCAGGGCTCTCTCCGCAGACCGTAGGCTCCGGGGCCGTTACCATTGTTCTGAGGCTGGGCGGCCGGAGAGGACGCTCCAGGCCAGACCTCGCCTCCGGTCTCTCCTCCCGCCCCGCAGCCCGGCGATCCCCCCGCGCCGATCTTTCCCGAGGAGGCCAGCCAGCCCCGGAGCGCCCCCCCGAACGGCGCCGAAGACGCCCCCGAGCGCTTACGAAGGTTCCCGACCGCCCGCGGTCTCCGGAAAGAGCCGAAGGGGCCTCCCACCCTCGGCCCGCCGAGCCGCTCCGGAAACGCCCGAAGTTTGCCGAGCGGCCGTCCTGCTGGACTGCTGGAGGCGGCCGTAGCGCCATGTTGGATGCTCTGCTCGTTGAGTGAAGAAAATCCGCCGGCATCGCTTGAGCCCCGCTCCCGAGAAGGGCGCCGCTTCCCCCGGGGAGGGGGACAAAGACCCCCCGCCGCCGGCCCATGAGGATATTGCCGTGAAAGGTCCGGTCTCTCCGCCTCCTGCCCCCGCCGGGTCCGGCCCCCCCCCTGGGGTCGCGTTGTCACGGAGACCGGCAGCCGGTGGTGCTGGCCCGCGGGGCGGCTGCTGCTGCCGGCGGCGGCGGCGGCGGAGGCGGCGGCGGGCGTGTGTGACCGGCCCCGGCCCCCTCCTTGTCCTCCTCCTCCCAGCCTCCCCCCGGCCCCCCGCTCCCGCCGCCTCCCCGGGTCTGCCCCCATCCCGCCCCTCCGCCGCCCCCGGCCCCTGCACCCCGGCGCGCCTGGTCCCGCTCTGGGGGGGTTGGTGGCTTCGCTTTGCCATGAGTTTACCGCAGAAACCGGCTCTGAAATCAGGCTCAGCGGCTGCAGCAGGAACCGGACCCGGCACCGGAGCGGCGGCGGCGGCGGCAGCGGTACCGCCTCCTCACCCGGCGGCGGCGGCGGCGGCGGCGGCGGCAGCGGCAGCGGCGGCGGCGGCGGCGGCAGCGGCAGCGGCAGCGGCCCCTCCTCACCCGAACATCAGGGCCCTCCAGACCCAGGCGCCCCAACAGTATCCTTTTTACCTTCCTACCGGCCCTTCGGCTCCCTCCGCCGCAGAGCAGGGGGGCGGTGGCCTCTCCGGGGACCCTCCTGCCGGCTGCCGCCCCGGCCCGGCCGGGGAGGAGAAGGGACTGCCGCTCTGCCCCCGCGCCGGGGCTTGGCTGGAGCTTTTGGGGTGCTCCCGCAGCAGTCCTGCGGGGGACCCCGGCATCTTCTGCAGCTCTGTGAAGCCAGCTCCACTCGGCCTTGCTTCTGCAGCCCTTCCCTTGCAGAGCTGGGGGACCCTTCCCCCTTCTCCCCACTCCTTTCCCCCAAACCCTCAGCCCTTTATTACCGTAGGCAGAATTGGCTGGTGCCTGGGATCAGCCCTGCAGGCAAGGCTTTGCTCTGATTGTTGTGAGGGCTACACCCTCCTCCTCTTCCTCCTTTTCCTCCTCCTCCTCCTCCTCCTCCTCCTCCTCCTCCTCCTCCTCCTCCTCCTCCTCCTCCTCGCTTCCCTTCAGCTCCCCCCTGCAGCGGGGCTTGGTGGGCTCCCTAATGATGACTATTGATACATATTAAACTTTATGGGTACATTTCCCGTTTGAAACCAATCAGCTCGCTTCAGAGGTAAGTTGGATTTTAAAGTCTACGGCGAAATTGTACATTTCCTCTGGTTATTTACTATTTTTTTAAGCGATCGGGGGAGTTGTGATGTGGTTTGTGGTGGAACGTGATCTAAGGAGGAAATGTTACACCGGACGCTTCCCTGTCTTTGACCTTTTTTTTTTTTTTTTTTTTTTTTTTAAAAGGAAGAGGAAGTTAACTGACATTACCCTTCACCCCCAAAAGTCTGACTTCTCTTGGGAGCCTTGTGCTATGCCGAATACCTCTAAAGGGCTTTCGTTTACTTTTCACAGGCCTGATGTCTAGAGGGACCAGGTGGAAAGCCTAGTTATTGATCGTATCTAATTTCATGTTATTTTCTCGATTGTAGTGTTGTTGTTTTTTTGGGACAGCTTCGGTGGCTAGATTGGAAAGATTTGGAAAGATTTGGTGACGGTATTTTCGTGGGAAACTAGGCGGCGAGGGTCAAAATGTTGAATTCGTGAATTCCACGGGGATTTAGAGAGGTATTACCAACCTGAGAATTCACATTTCCTCATGCACTCGCCGAGCTGCTGTTCTTGTGCAAGTCAATAAGTAATCATCGGACGTTAGCTGTGCTGTGTTTCTGTGTTTGTCATCGTGTTTTGACGTGTGGAGTGAGCCCGGTGTTTGAGCAAATAAACTGTGAGGTCCACAGATTATTTCACAGTGTAGTTTGATTCTGGTCTGTATCGATTACTTTGAGAAGGGAAAGTTACGTATCTTCTCGAGTCATTTCAGGTCATCCTTTCCGTTTCTGTCTCTGTCAAGTGTCTTATTTAAATACGGTTAGTCCACATTTTTTTTTTTTTTTCCAGTCCAGGCAATGTGTGTGTGTCAGAGTAAAGATAAATCCCATTCCAGTGTGATGTGCGTACTGATTTCATAATGTTTTTTATCTTGCATGATTCTGTTCAATTAAGAATTGTTCACCGATGACAATGCTTATTACCGTATGTTTGTTACTCATGGGAAACCTGGTTTTGATGAATATCCCTAGTTGTTTTCCTGTGGAGGAAAAAGGGTTGGCTAATTTGTGTACTTTAGGGTTAAGGTGAAGTTCGGTGTGGATCTCTTAAACATATTTAATGGTTTGTGAGTTTAAATTCCTTTATAATTTGTCCTTTTTTTTTTTTTGTCTTGGGTAAGGTTGTATTATAAGTATCTATACAGTGCCATCAAGTAACTTATTTTTTAGTTGCCTCTTTGAGCTGTTTTGGCAAGTAAACAAATGAAAGGAAGTCCATAGTTTGTGTTCTTGATGTACAAAGTGATAAAAAGGCGTGCACAGGGCTTAGTGGATTTGGTGACATTATTTGGCTGTTATTTACATGTTTCAAGTAGGCTTTTTCTCTGCATTTTGCAAAGGAAGGACTTTAAAACGCTTTGAGTTGGCTGCAACATAAAACTAGTTACTAATACTGCAGCAATTGTTAAAGAGGATACATTTAAGATGTACTTTCCAGTGGTTGTATATGACTTAAAGTTTTTACTTTGCTTTATGTCATTGAAGGTAAAATTAATTTTCTTGATGTATTTCACAACCATATTATCTTCTGCTTGTTTTACATAGTGAAAAGTTGCAATTACTAAAATCTAAGTTTGTATAGCCAATGAAATATACGTTATAGAGTTCTTTAGGACATACCTATGGTGAAATGTTATCAATGGTAATGGGCATTAGGTTAAAAATGAATTAAAACAGAGCAATTTTGCTTGTCTACTCTGAGGGAGTGTGTTACGGACATACAGTGGTCATTGTGTGATAAATTGATATACATTGAAATAGCAAGACTGGTGTACAAAGCTGGAGTTGCTCTTTCTTTTTTTTTTAATATATTTTATTAATTTTTCACAGAGAGGAAGGGAGAGGGACAGACAGCTAGAAACATCGACGAGAGAGAAACATCGACCAGCTGCCTCCTGCACATTCCCCACCAGGGATGTGCCTGCAACCAATGTACATGCCCTTGACCAGAATCGAACCTGGGACCTTTCAGTCCGCAGACCGACGCTCTACCACTGAGCCAAACTGGTTTCTGCTGGAGTTGCTCTTTCTATGGCTTAAAACATTTTATGTATTTACTAGAGGCCGGGTGCATGAATTTGTGCATGGGTGGAGTCCCTCCACCTGGCTGGTGATCTGGGCCGATTTGGGCCAGCCAGCAAGGGGGGAGGGACTGCGGTAGGTTGGCCAGCCACTAGAGGTTGGCTGTAGGAGCGCACTGACCACCAGGGAGCAGTGTCTGCCCCGTGGTGGTCAGTGCATATCATAGTGACAGGTCGTTTGTTTGACCGGTCCCAACAGTCGCTTAGGCTTTGTGTGTGTGTGTGTATGTGTATGTATATGTATATGTATATGTATATGTATATGTATATATTTAGATTTATTGACTGATTTTTAGATAGAGAAACATTGATTTGTTGTTCCACTGATTTATGCATTCACTGGTTGAGTCTTGTATTGGCCTGGCTGGGATTATCTGCAACCTTGGCATATCTGGACGACCAAATGAGATGCCTTGACAAGAGCATCTATGACGATTAAATCTATAGCTCCTCAAACTATTCAAGTGTAGTGTGTTTGAATTCAAGTTCAGCTAGTATTTTAAAATTGTAAAAATGCTAGAAATGGATTCACATGACAAAGTGTTCTTTATTTGTACTTAGTGTTCAAGTGACAAATCAGAAATGAAGGGAAATATTAGCAATAATGGATTTAAATAGAAACTGGAACCTGCTTAAGGTAGGCATCAGTACTGCATGGAGGCCCATAGGCCATATCAGGTATGATTGCTAAGAGGCAAGGATGGGCAGGAGCGGTGGGTGGTGAAAGAAGACGAACAGTGATGTGAAAAATGCTAATGGCTTCGAGTTTTCATAATGTAATCCAATATGAATAGTTTATGAAATTGGCACTTTAGAATACTTGGCTTGAGATATGATCACCCCAATTTACCAGTCTGAGGTTCCAAGAGGCTCTGTTGAGAATTTTAAGAATGATTCTTAACCTTTTTTGGTTAAAAAACAAAAACAAAAACAAAAACCACAACTTTGATACATATATTTAACAACTTTGATATTTTGATGAAAGCTTATAGACACTCTCCAACAGAAAACTGTCCATGCACAGAAAACCTTCCTTACATTTTAGGTTGTCTTTTTTGTGCCCCCACTCTATTAAAGCCTAGCTCTTTAGAAGGAAATTGCTTACCCTTCTGATAAGTAAAGATAAATGAGTTTGAATTCAGGTGCCCAAATAGTTCTGACTTAATAGAACAATTTTGCAGTCTGTTATGAACACACAGTGCTCTCTCTATTTATATGGAAAGACTTCAGAGTGTAATTTTTTTCCGGGCTGCTGACACTTCTAGGGAGTCTAATTACTGTTTTGGGGCAACCAGTTTGGTTAAGAAAATCAGGGCAGTGGGTTCTTTGAGGGAACTAAATTTGGTAAAGGCCTGTGGTGATCTAAAAATGACCTATGTCCTTAGCTATTTTGTCTTATATATGAACATATTAAAATATTCCTGGCGAAACTGATTTGGCTCAGTGGATAGAGCGTCGGTCTGCGGACTGAAAGGTCCCAGGTTCGATTCTTGTCAAGGGCATATACATTGGTTGTGGGCACATCCCTGGTGGGGGTGTGCAGGAGGCAGCTGCTTGATGTTTCTCTCTCATTGACGTTTCTAGCTCTCTATCCCTCTCCCTTCCTCTCTGTGGAAAATCAATAAAATATATTTAAAAAATAAATATTCCTGCGGGGCCAGTGTGGCTTAATGGTTGAGCATCCTCCCATGAACCAAGAGGTCACCCATTTGGTTTTCAGTCAGGGCATATGCCTGAGTTTTGGGTTCATTCTCCAGTAGGGGGTGTGCAGAAGGCAGCCTATTGATATATCTGTCTCATCTAGGTTTCTCTCTCTCTACCCCTCTCCCTTCCTCTCTCTCAGAGCAATAAAATAAAATATTTAAAAATATATGTTAAAATATCCTCCTTTGGTTTTAAAATTTTTTTGGCATTGCAATTTAAAAAAAATATATTTTATTGGTATTTTACAGAGAGGAAGAGAGAGGGATAGAGAGTTAGAAACATCGATGAGAGAGAATCATTGATCAGCTACCTCTTGCACACTCCCCACTGGGGATGTGCCCACAATCAAGGTACATGCCCTTGACCGGAATTGAACCTGGGACCTTTCAGTCCGCAGGCTGACGCCCTATCCACTAAGCCAAACCGGTTTCGGCGACATTGTAATTTCTTAAAATGTTTTCAGTGTTGATATTTCAGTTTTATTGGCTGAAGTCAATAATGTTTGCTTTCTTCTTTTTGCCTCCTTACCAAAGCTAAATCTGAATACTAATAGTATCCATTTAATAAGTG